TCACACTGGCTCGATGTAAACAATCAAAGTGGGCACACTTCCAGATTGCAAAACAACTCACCCACCACTGCCTACAGAAAACCCCACTTTTGTGGCCCCGGTCTCACTGCCACTTACGACCATCGGTCTGTAGTGGGGGAGGGGCACACGGAGGTAGCTATGTCGCCTTTACGATCTGCGGCTGGTTGGATGGTGTCTACTCTGGGCCACTGTTCTGATCCCTCAGTGTCCACTCCTGCTGTCCAGTGGCCCTGTACAGTGTGTGCCCTTGGTCCTGGAACACAACCTTATAGTCAAATTAAAAACAACAGAGATTGTGAATGAGATTGTTTTTCTCTCTAAAGTCAAAACAATTTTGGAGCGCTCTTGGCTTTCCAAGCGCTATGTAAATAAAGATTACTTATTATCTTACTAATGATGACACTTTTAAGACCAGAAACTCTCTTAATAAAAAACAAGACTCAAATCTAAAAAAACCTTTTTAAACTTTAAAATATGTGTACTTTTGTACTGTGTTTAATTATCTATGCGTCCTTGGGTTTCACTTTATGGACTTTCCCTTTTACACTTATTTATCTCAGCATCTATTCTACTAATTTAAAATAATTGCAGCATTTTTCAAATGAAGTCAATATGAATTGGAGCACATTTTAGAGCCAGTCTCCTCTGCTGTGTGCATCAGCAGCAGCAACAAGGTCAGGCGTGTAGTCAAAACAAAAACAAAAGTCACCACTTGAATGTGAATTGGGTGAATTGGGTACAGTTCAACTTAATAATACTTTTACAGCTAATCCTAATTCCCTCTTTCTTTTTAGACGAAGTCTATAATCAATAATCACTTTTAACACAGATTCTAATTTAAATGTTTGAAAAACGGCTTTTGTAACTAAAATAAAAACATAAAAACAAACACAACTCACAAAAAGTTAAGAAATAAGCAGCAGATTTAAAAGAATGGAATCTAGAAATATGTTTGGTCTAAAAAGAATTGCACAGCTTTAGCACTAATCTTTGGGTTTCAAAAACATAATAATTCAAAACTTCTTTTACTAAATGGTGTTTAAAACGTTTAACTGTGTCATAACACAATGTTCAATTGCAAATTTCGCAAATTTAACGGAATAACAACTATGAAAAGCCAGAAATCCTAAAAGCAGTAGCTCTGATTCAGAGCCAGAGCAGCAAAGGAGGGGGCCGTTTCCCTGACAACGGCAGCAAGATAGTGCGACGCACACACACACAGGCAGAAAGTAGTGTTTTAGCAAAAATGCCAAAACAGAAAGAAGAAGAACTTTCGAGATTACTTTTTAAAGCGAATATAACTGATGTTGTTCTTTATACTTTTGTCATCCAAGTCTAGAAGTGATCACTTTCCACACTTGTAACAAAAGGCACTCTTTACTCTTTAATTTCCCTTACGCTTCTATTTTATTTAGGTAGCAAAATCTCTTTCTAAAAAACAAAAACAACTGTTGGATACAACCCTCTCATAGCTCAACTGTAGATAAAACTCGGCAAAAAATGTAAATAACTCACCAAAGCTCTCGTAGCTCAACTTTAGATAAAACTCTGCATTCTCCGGTGAACTCTGTTCACGCCAAAAAACAAAAACCTTTTTCTGTATGTAATTTAAACCGTGATCACTGAAATATTGTTGCTTCTTTACTTTTGTCATTTATCAGCCTGAAATTCGTCAATTTCAAAGCTTTTGTAACAAAGGCCTCTTTAACACATTTCCCTTTTTATTGCTTTTATGTTTACACCATGTTTTCACTTTTGGATCCAACACTTTTCTCTGGCTAGCAAGGGGCCTCTACCCCGGTAATTAGTCAAAAAAGGGCCTCTACCCTGTAATTACTCTTTTTCTCAAGGGGCTTCTACCCCGGTAATTACTCAAAAAAGGGCCTCTACCCTGTAATTACTCTTTCTCTGCCCTGACTACTTCAAAGGACAGGGACCCCGATACGTCAAGGGGTTCTTTTTTCCTATAGGGACTGGTTACCCACACAGCTAACCTGTTTTCTACAACATAAGACATGACAAAGACGTGACAAAGACACAACAAAGAAAATTTTATTTAGAGAGAGTTGGACAGACCTCCGGGACAGCTCAAAATTTAGCTAGTATCCAATTATGCAGACTTTACATATTAAAAAAGGTGTCTGCTTACCTTATTTTCTTTGTCCGGACTGTTCGAGAGGTCGACCAACATCTTTTCCGCGTCGAAAAATTCAATTTAAACACAAAACAGAGAAAGTGAGGGAGCAAGAGCAAGCCCATCCAAAAGCGAGCCCTTTCAGCGTCCGCTGGGATTTCTCCCCTTCCAGATAACGTGCTGTTGCTCCCACACGCCGACAAAAGAAACAATGGAAACTCCCTCAAAACAATCCAGAGAATGGCACACACCGAGCCGCACATCCTCCACCAAATCTGTCAGGGATGAATCAGACAGAGACGGATCGTGGTGCGCCAAACTCTGGAAGTTTATTTAAGTTTCTCTCAAGTTCCACTGGTTTCAATTGTTTCTTTCTCTCAGACAGAATAAAGGCAGTACACAGTTTATATAGTCATTGTCACGTCACACATGGAAAGACATACGTGTCACAAAGAGACAGTCACATCATAGTCATAACATGGAGTCCTTGTACAGTCCTGCACGTAGGCCATATTGCTATCTAATACTAACACAAATAATGCACAATGTCAGTACTGTAATATATACAGTTGCTAAAAGAGTATTCATACCCCTTTAGCATTAACATAGCTAATTTTAAGAGGCAAAATGACTTGGTTGACTGGTTTACAGTGTGCAAAAAATTAATCAATAGAACATAAACTTGAGCATTATTCTTTCCTCTCTCCTACTTTATTTGTCATCATTCATTCATTTTTTACCCCTTCATTAGTCCATTTCTGAGTCGGAGGGGTTGACAATCATAGCTGCCACCCAATACTCAGCACCAGTCCCTCGCAGGTTGTGAGTCCACAGGAAGATGGCTGCTAAGTCAGTGGTGCCACAGCCTTGGTCTTGGTCTTTCAGCGGGGGCTTCAGGCAATGTGGGGTTCAGTGTCTTGCCCAAGGACACAACGACAGCAGACAGGGTCAGGGTTGCGTGGTGGTCTTGAACCCATGACCTTCGGGCCCAAAGGTCAATACTCTACCAACTGAGCCACTGTCGCCCCTATCTGTCTTAATATGACTTGTCCATTGCTATTCACCACGCTGTGCCAGTGTCTGTTTCAGGCTGCGGTGATGGAACCCCTGAACCTGGCCTCTTATTTGCACCTGTGAACCGGTCTCCCAGGCCCTTGCTCGAGGGCTGCAACCCCTCCCCGCTTGGGAGCCTCCTCAGCCCTGGACCAACAGCCATGTTCTACAGCTTTAGTTCTATAGCTTCAATGTGGGCCTCCCAATTTCACTTTTTGGAACAGTGACCAATATGTTTGGTGTTGTATTTCCTGTGTTCTCTGATCGGTTGTTGAGGAATCGTAAACTTTGTATGTCCTCTGAGATGACTGCTGTTGTGATTTAGGCCGATACACAAATAATTCAGGTGTCCAATAGCAGGAGAATCATCCAGATCTATGCTGTTTCCAGTAACTCTACTTGGCCCTTCTCCATTTGGCCCTGAAAAAGCGTGTTTCTACCGGCCCTGTTTAGTCATACTTTTTTTAGTCCCTATTGGCCCTGGTTCTATCCAAGCTGAGGTGGTACTACAGTGTTCTAACTGACATTGACTGGACAGAGTGCAGCCGGAAGCCATCGTTACCACTGTTTCTTTTTAAGTTTGTTGTGGGGAGATTTCTCGTATACGGTACCAGATACTAAAGTGTAATGGAAATGTAACCAGTTCAAGTAGAAGAGAATAGAGAAGGATAGGGCCAAGACGAGCTAACGGAAAGATGGTCTCGGTCAAGACTTTTTGACTACCACCCAAAAAAACTCCACAGATTGAGTCAAACGAAGGACTGGACACTCTATGGCCTCCTCCTCCACTATGTCTGCTCTTCCTTTCACTGGAACTTTCGGAGTGTGACCCAAACAAAGCCAATATTAGGGGGAAGGGGAGTCGGGACCCCTGCCTCATCACAGTCCCCTCCTCCAACTGTGTGGGGAAATGCAAGAGAAGTCAGTCAGCACGCCTCTTTCATTAGACCCACTGCTAGATCACTGCCTCAAACCAACCCCCATGTTGGCATTTGCGACTACTTTTCTCTTTCTTTAAACCATACAGTAGAATTTCTCATTCAATTCTTCTGTTAACAAGTACAAAGAGTGAAAAATATCACCAAAAATATTCATGACAAATAGGAACCCCAGTGTGTCTTTGATTAAACAAGTGTTCATTATGTAGTAAGAGGGCCACTTTAGTTTAGTTTTGTTCAGGGGCAGATGACTCAGATAGTAAACCTGTTTTGACTGGATTCAGGCTGTTCTGATCTATTACTGAAGATAGCTGTATGGCACATGCTTACTATCTCACATTAGCGCCATATACACAAATTTGTGGCACAATTAAAAACAATTTTCAGTAAAAACCAATTAAGTCCACAACTGGATTTTAGAGCTTTCCAACAAGGTACTGCTGGGTTGGGCTATTAAATAGAATGTTGATGCGGGAAAACGTACACACTGGCGCTTTTTGCGACTAAGTATCACTCTTATTTTGAGTGAAAACTATTTTCAATGCAGCATACGCCTTTTTTGGAAGGATAGTCTATGATGCTCTGGTTCTTGGATCTTGACTTTGCTCGTTGACTGGTTTGTGGCTCTTGGATTGAAAAATTGAACTTCGATCTTGACCGGCTCCTAAAACTCACTAATTTAGCTTTAAGACTGGGCCAAAAGTTATAATCTTTTTATTCATAATCTTTGTTACCTGACAGTTTGGCAGATGAGAGTGTGTAACAACATTGCGCAGAAATGTACAGAAGTTCTCTGCATTATGCCATAGACCTACAGAGTTCTACAAAGTGAATGTTTAATGATTTCTTTGGACATGAGGTGGGATGGGGGTGGGAGGAGTGGACAGATGATCACCACACTGCTGCTGCTGCGGCTGACCTCTGAGACCCCGAAGCCCCCATTACTCCTGGGACGCATACAGGGCGGGGAACCAGGGCCAGGCCGGAGGGGTAAGCTAGTCACACATGGAAAAGATAGTATATTCTTCTGTCAGCTGCAATACTTTCATTACATACAGATTTGTGGTGTAAGTCTATTGTTGGATTATCTAGAGGATAGAATGAAGGAAAACAGGATGTTATGTGGCCAAAAGTCTGAACTGGTTCCAATTTCATCAACTGTTCTTGTTTTTGTAGAAAAGTGAAATTCAGTAAGTTTTCAAGACTTTTAAAATGATGTCTCTGGGTCTACAAGCATTGTTCAACAATTATTGTAAACTACACCAGGTTTTCTAATATCCAAAAAATGTATGCATGCAATATAAATTAATACTAAACTGAATGTATTCTAAACTGTAATTTTAACTATTTCGATTTCATGTATCCAACAGACACACACAACACAGCTGTGGAGTGTTTTCAATAATGACAGTACATAGATGGACAATACAGTTAGCATCCTTAGCTCAATGAAGCCAAGGAAAGTGGTCATGGATGAAGTTTTGGTCTAAATCAAAGTGGCTATTGACTCATGAAAAGTAAACTTCTCATACCCAGGAATCGTTTGTGTCCCACTCACTATATTGCTGTCCAAATGCCCAAATAAGGAAATTGGCTGAAGGAGGCTTATGTACAAAAGTACAAATCGGACTGTGCTACATTTTGGCACTATGGTGATGTCACACTCACTCAGTTCACTCCTAATATATGCTCTATGGTTTTCAATCAAGCTCTCCACAAAAGAAGAGACATGACGTGAGACTGCGCCTGAATAGGAAGGCCGCTGGTTAAAAGCTGATGGTTGTGAGTTCAGCCAGACAGGTTGCTCATATGTCACTCGTCATGTTTTGGCTACAGAGGCCGAAGAACCAACAAGTGCAGATGGACAGTGGCTTACTGTCACATATCTACAGATGTCCACCACCACATGCTCTGGGGGAGTCTGAGCCTGGGCCTGGGGGGGTCTGTGCTGAGCAGTGACTGCCCCCCTCCCCCTACACTCAGGGCTTTGTGTCAGGGGTCATAGGTCCGGCCCTTTGTGGGGACACATGTGACCCAGACCTCTACCAAATTTAATTATTGTCCCCTTTGCAGAGTGCATTGGGCCGACAGTGCCACACTGCGTTCACTTAAGAACTATGTCACATGTTGGCAGGATAGACATATTATGCCGCTTTTCCATAGTCACGGTACGGCACGCACGGCGCACCCGAGTGTGGGTGCTTTTCCATTAAAAATGTTACCTCCAAATTTTTCCTCAGTGTGGGGGGGGTTGTCAGACAGTAATTTACGCGTAATATTGGTCTGACGTATCACATTTTGTCATTTGAAACGAAATGTTTTTACTTCGAGTACAATACATAACTTAGTTATTTAAAATACATGTATAGTGTTATTCTTAGTATCAACTCAATAAAGGAGCGAGAAGTAAATAACTATGTAATGATTGTGTTTTGATCAAAAATAAAACCTTTTTGTACATACCAAATATGTCTCCATCCTCGTTCATAAATTTACCACAGTTATACGGATTTACTGACAAATATAATTTATGTAATGTAAATAGAAGTAAAAGTATATGGTAGGAAATCGTAACTTTTTAACCCCTTTTCTGCATGTGCACAGACAAATGAATGAAACAAAGTCTTGATACGATCACAGATTTATTAAAGACAAAAGTAAAGTGTGAAGAAGATGTGCCAAGTCTGGGATCGCGTCTTTAATTCAGACAGAAGACATGTTTTATTGTCGATGGTAGAGACAGCACGAACAACAGATACAACAGAATGCAAGTGTATTATACAGAGCGGAGGCATGGAGTCCTCCAATCAGCAGCTTCCACGGTGCCATGTAGCTTGGCCTTCAGATAGACAAAACAAGGGAAAAGTACTGGCTTCTGCACATTGATAGAATGATGAGTTTAACCGTAACAAAAGTTGCTTCAAAGTGTTATGAAATCTCACAAGTGCAAAACCAACAATTTACAAAGTCCAAAGTACGTATGGGGAAACTTAAGTACTCCGGTCACTCATTGCTCGTTTATAATCTCCTCACTTGTGGGAATGGATTCTCAAACAAATAAATATACACACGACAACTTAAGTACAAACACAAAGCAGAATGGCAACACGTGAAAGAGCAAAATACAGCACAGTGGAACAGGAAGGACGTTTTAGCTTAGCTTGCTCTCGATAGCTAAATGTAGCTAGCTCACTGTGTGCAACAGACAATCAAACTTTTACACGAGTAAATACATTTAGGTGAGAGCTTTGGGCCAACGGGATACGTAGGTAACCAGTTATTTCCAGGATTACCACAGACTAGTCACAAATCAAGAACCGGGCGACCTTCCTGATAATATTGTTCCGTGTCGTGCCTTCGAGCTGCCTTTGAATTCTTTCTTCGGCCTAAAGAGAGTAACGTGTGGACCACGTCGACCGACCAGGACGCTGACTTTTGGGGCTTTCTGTGCGATTCCATTTCTCTGGAGTGAGGAGGACGTATTATAGCAGAGCAGCCGGTTTTGAAGATGGTGGGGTTGGGTTTTTTTTACCAAAGGGTCGGACATCGCTTCCAGTGACGACCCTCATTGACCAAGACAGTCGGCTGACGTCACATTTTTGGTATCGCTTTGGCGCGGTTGGAACCACAGTCGAGGTGATACAAGAAAGTACCCTCGATCCCAAGCCCAACCCTCGTGCAAATTCAAAACAGCCGCGCCGTGCCATACCGTACCGTTACTGTGGAAAAGCGGCATTAGACACCACATGTATATGCGGTTGTGTGCCTAATTGAAGGCACACAGTTGTAAAGAATGTTTATTGACAAGAAAATTTCAAAGCTAATTTAGGGGACTTTTTTTTAATGCCTCTGTCCTGACGTCAGCCTGCGGATTCATCTTTGTTTGACTTGTTTGAAAACAGAGAAGATGTACAGATGAGGAGGGGGGATGTATTTTGTGGAGGATTGATGGGGCTCTAACATGATTAAAACAAAATAAAAACAGAATAGCAGTTTTGGCCTTCAAAGTTAAGCATGTCGTTTACCTAGCTTTAGGTTTTAATCCTGAGGTCATTAAGCAGATAATGTGTTTCTTTGCACTTTGGATTATGTCTCAGGCCACCCACTGTTGGCACGCTCCTCTGGCATGTGGGAGGGGACCTGGGGTGGGTTGTGGGGTGTATGCAGCTGAAGGGGGGGTTTGGGTGGTTATTGTTGCTGAGTGACAAATTAGCACTGCTGCCATGTGCTGAAAACAGTGACACTGCATTTGCTAAGACGCCGACAGTGTACTCAGCAAATTATCCATCCAGGACAGAGCAGACCAGGGCTGTCCACACTGTGCTCATGACAAAACATTTTCACAAAAGAGTTTTGCAGAGGGTGTTCAGAGTTTATTTATGTATTGCTTGGTTGGGACAGTGCACTGTAACACCAGGACTCCCAGAGCCATCATGTTGACTGCACTCGAGTGAATTCCGGGGAATTCCGCAAACAATATTTCGTTTTCCACCAGATTTATTCAAAGTAAATAATTTGTGTTATTACCTTAGTGATAAAAAACATGATAAATTACTTGCAACTAGTGTTAGTTCTAGTCCAGTTAACTAAAACTTGTGAATATAAATGAAATGCAGCAAAAAGAAGTTTGTTGAAAGGCTAATTGCTAATTCTAATTGCAGTCTAGAAACAGCCGCCTAAAAAAGAGGGTTTAACTGTAATAAAAAGTTGGTTGCCAAGAAATTATCTGTTTTTATATTTAGTTTAAGTTATTAAGACCAAAAAGGTACATACATAATATTTCTAAAACAAAAAGTCATCAAATTGACTGCTTGACTGTATGGTAGATCATGGTAATATTTCCTGGTCTGGAATCTTAAGAACAAAGCCTCAGCCTGAAGACGTCTGCACAATCTTCTTTTTCACACACGTAAGCAAAAGCTTAGAGTGCAAACAGCAGGATTAAGGTGACGGGACTCCGGAGGCAAAGCACTTTGTTGTTCAGTCAACAACAACATGGCCCAATCTGCTCCTGAAGATGCTTATTGTTTCATGTAATCCACTCATCCACAGACTTCAAATGCCCTTTTCTGGCATTTCATGTGTGAGAATGTCCAATCATTTCCTAGGATAGGGAAAACGTATGAAGAAAATAACAAACGCAAATGATGATCTATTTTCACCTGGTTTTAGACACACGGGAAAGTGCCTAATTCAAGATTCAATGCATTGTCATTGTCACAGAGAGAAATAAAGAAATTCAGAGCATCAACATCAATGCCTCCCTCCTGGAGTGCCACCTCAACGTGGTGGGGGAGTTTGAGTACTCCGTTGATCCTGGGAGCAGTGTTGTCTGGGGCTTTATGCCCCTGGTAAGGCCTCCCATAGCAAACAGGTCTCGGGTGATGAGTCAGAAAAAATGCAGTCCAAAACCCGCAATGGTAGCACAACAATAACACCTGTGACGTCGCCCGGCATCACGCAGCCGGGACCCCACCCTGGAGCCTGCCACAGAGGGATCCGTGGAGGGTCAGTGCAGAGAGGACTGGACGGCAGTCGAATGCGGGGACCTCGTACACAACATCTGGCGCTTGGGCTCTGGAACCCTACTCCTTTAGATGGGTTCTACGCTCCCCACTTTTCTGGTGTTTCTCGCGGGGAGAGGTGGCGAACAGGGGTGCCCCCATCTCAGCCACCACGTGTTAAGAGTTTTCCCCGGTGAATGAGAGGCTCGCGTCCCTCCGCCTGCCGGTGGGGGACAAGTCTCTCACTGTTGTGACGAACTACAGGCCTAACAGCAGTGCAGAGTACTTGGCCTTCTTGGAGTGAATAAAACAGCAAAACAGTTTATTGAAAGGCTAATGCTAAAGACCAAATGCTTACTTCTGGAGAGTAAATGGTTTGTTCCTATGGTAATTAGAGCTGGATTTTCTCTGGTGGAAAACCAAACTGACTCGGCTCAGAACCAGCTTAAGCTGTGAAAATGTGAGATACATTTTCACAAATAAAAGATTATTTCTTGAACATAATGACAAAACTACATTAAGATACAATTTCAACAACCAAAAAGGTAAATTTTCTGAGTAATTATTCTTTTCCAAAAAGAAAAGGGGTCAAATTGACTGCTCTGGGAGTTTTATTGTTAAACATTATTTACACTTGTTAATATTTCATTCATTGTACATTCTTTAACCAAATAAGAATCCGACTTAAATTCCTCTACACAATGGGTTGCACAGTTAAATGCAGCAGATTTGTGCAGTCATCAGTCACTGATTCCTTTCGACTGTTTCGTCGCTGGTGTGTGACAGGGGATCCTTTCGGGATCTTTGTGCTACCTCCAGGGCCCTCACTTCACCTGAGCCGCATCCCCCATCTGCTCCACTGTCTCAAAGTTTTACCGATAACTAGCAACTTGTCTGTCTTCCACCGCAGCGAGTGGGTTGGCTCCACATCAAAAAGCCCCGGCGATGAATATGGATGCGACGTGGCCCATTCACGGGGCCCACTTTTCTCTGATACAAACTCAAACAAGGCTGACCTGATTGTGCCGCATCAGAACAGGACTCATTTGCTCCGATATGAGGCGTTTTCATCTTTGGGTCTGCAATTCAACTGGGACTGCGGAGGTGTCTGTTGGATTTCAGCACAGACAGGCGAATTTTGTGAGTAAGCAAAATAAATTAAAAAGCGTGTACCGATTTCTTCCTGTTAATAAAAGAGAATAAGTTCATCGCAGAAGTTTAGGCTTATACCTCACTTTCTAACTTCATCACTATGGTATGGTATGGTATGGTATGGTTTTTATTTTTACAGGGACAGTGTACAGTAAACATTAGCCAAAAGGAGAGATGCTTTGTACCAGATTGTAGCAGCAGTGCTAATTTACACCTGTAGTCCCTGAGCAGGTTGTTGTGAGACAGTAAAATAAAAAGTAGATGGATACATTACCATACATTATCAGACATACCTTACAATTTAATTAATCACAAATTAGATAGTAGAATATAATAAAACCACCCAGCC